TTACATCGTTCATGAAATATTATCTAATCGCATACTTCTGTATACAAATTTCTGTGAAACTCGTTTAACTTTCGTTTAAATACTTGCAACGATAGGTCATGCAGAAGTTGGAACACGCCGGATGCTGGTGATCCACGATAATAATCGAGACGCGATATCCGCTAAGAAATATCCATTTCCGGACCCCGGAGCAAGCTTGGTGGCTAGAGAAATCGAAGGGCACTATAATAGAAAGAGAGAACGTACGTGCTAGATGGGTACGGTACGCAGATCGTTGGAAATTTATTGAGGATATTATAATCAGAAATTTAACGGAATATCGGGCGTACGGATAGTTTAGGGTAAACCAATGGACAGCATTAATATCGGTACGTATTACCGACTATTAACGGTGAATGGATCGACGTAATTACACGAGGGTCGCGAGCCGATGGCGGCCGAGCAGACGTTGGCTCGTACTACTGTGCCATATGCGAGCCACTGGCAAACGGAGCCCTCTGCGATCACATATTCGATATAGACTATCACCACCGGATTATTACGTTCTATTTTGTGCTAATCGGATGATCGTATTTTTTTCAACCCATAAATCGTCGTAATATGCATTTGTCACTTGACAATTTCATTCTCTGTTCCCTCGTGTGATATTTAAAAATAATTCCGATGAAATATATACTTTTTACATTGTTTTATAATGTTATTATTATTGATGTTGATCACTGTTATGTAAGAGAAGGAAGTGGCTAATCAACAATCGTGTTTTCTGATTACAGGTGCAATCTTCGAACAGGGCACCGACGAAGTTCAATCAGCTTTCAAATTTGCCATGCTCAACCACAACCAGAATACCACAACTCGGAAGTTTGAGCTGCAGGCTTTCGTAGACGTAATTAATACTGCGGATGCCTACAAGCTATCCCGTCTCAGTAAGTAGGAGAGTTTCGTCTATCAGTCGAATTAGTACCTGTCAGTGTGTCTCGTTACACTGTTTGATTTCGTTCCATATGTAAGACTATCAATTGTGTTTTAATTGATGATTCCCATTGTTTCCAAAACATTTATTTCAACTAGGAAATAGTTTCTAGCATTCAATGCGTTAACTTATTGTTAGAGAAATCATATAGCCATATTAATACGCTTCACGCATCAGATTTATTATCCCAACGAAGTTTATAACTCGGTTATTGATAGCTGGAGAACGAGAAAGTAGCTGGCGTACGTATGACGGTCGAACTACAATTACGCTTTCCAGAATCGTGCAACTTTTCCTACTTTCTCAAACAAGAATTATTATCCAACTTGGCCCACAAGCTGCCTCGAACAGAAAGAGCCATCGATAGATCCTGATTGTACCGAACGCAATCGTAGATCACTTAAAACGTGCAATTTTTCATTTATCCACATGAAGATAATTTTATTTCTTATAAGTACTATTGATTGATATGAAAGAACATACATCAAAGTATTATAATACATAAAAAATATATTTTATATCTAAAATAATAATGAAAAATTCAATTAACAAACGGAAGACAAATTAAAGATGTAAGATAATATAATACTAATAAGATAATAAGATAAATTAATGATGATTTTAACCAATTATTGTCACAATGACGTTATTGATTTGCCGTTAACGTCACGTTCATCCGCGTTGGGTACGTGGCATAGTTTTTCGAACGCGTTCAACCGTCGTGATACGATGTTTCATAGACGAGTAGCAACAATCGATTTCACTTTGTACGCGATATCATCTGCAGTGTATCAGAAACTTCGACTGATCAACAATACTCAGGCGGGTACGTGCCGGAAACGCGAGATCGCGGTCGCTATTGAATCTGGCACGGATGGGAATCGATGGCGTGGCATGTGGCCCACGAAATAAGTAACGTTCCGAGGTACCTCTCACTGTCGAGATACTAATCTCGTTACTTCATCGAGATACGCCTCTATTTCGCGTCTTGCGAACCTGCGCGCACGTACGGCCCGGACATTCCTCCTCGTCGTGTAGAACCCACGTGGATATTACGTTCGCGATAAATTGACCTAAGCAATGAAAAATAGTGTCATTTGTTCAATGTAAAATGTTTCATTTTAAACCTGTTTTATTAAAAATAAGAATCAAGCTTGAGGAGAATTTCAAGAACAATTATTATAATATTTGTTATAATCTATTATTGGAATTAAATGGAACAAATACATATATTAGACGTGGCCTGGTAAAGCAGGAACAGAAATATTAACCAATTTTTTAAATTTGATTAATTGAAAAAATGGATCTATTATTTTGCATGATTTTCGAGCTCCAAGCATGTCATAAAAATAATTCGAAGGACACTGAATGTGAAAATGTAATTAAACTGAAATATGTAGCTTTTATTGTCTGCCAGGATTAATCTCACTTTTGTCCCCGGTTTTTTAACGTTTCCACCGAACCAGAATTTAATTTTGCAAGCATAGCATCCGGGATTAAAGAGAACGAATGAAATCATTAATCACTCTATACGCTGCAGTACGGACATTAACTCGATCAAAAGAAATCTCTTTCTAAAGAAGTATGTATGTATTGGAATTAATTAAATTGCAACTGTTCAACAATTAATAAGTTCTATACTTTCGTAATTAATTTTTTATAACACTTTCCTTAATAAGTTAACACAATTCGTTTAATCTTTCATAGAATGCAATAATATCCTCATTATAAGATTACTTTTAATATAATTATAAATTCGTGAATGAATTATGTTCAACCTCACCTTCCGTACCGAATTGGAATAAATATTAAACGAGCTCTCATTCTATTAAAAATCAAAGAAGCGATTAAGAATAAACAGCAGTTAGCTTACCGGCGATTATAAATCGGCTGAGTACCGATGCTTAACTTGATCATCGCGGCGCGAAATTGACTTTGTGCACGCGACGACGCGACGCGCCATGCCAGCTGTCGTTCCGGCCGACTCTACAGAGACTCATTGTTCACTTTATCGTGGAACGCATAGATTTGAAACGCGAACGAGCCGTACGGTCGGCCACCCGCAGGATCGTTTGACGCTTTCTAACCCGGAATAGTCGTCGGTCAATCGAGCCCAGCACGCTGGAATTGCCTTTGAAGCCGATTGGTCCTGCTCTAAAGCGTAAACGAATGGCCACCTGGGTGCCAAAGATATCAGTGTCTCGTCATCGATGAAATTTAAGTATCTCCGGACGTTGTCAAAGGAGTTAGTCGCCTTTCGATTGTAACGTTAACGGATCTAACGTAATTCGATTTACTACCTCCTGCAATTTTCGTACGAATGTGTTCTGAATTTCCTTAGGCAAAATTTTGATGAATTAGTGATTGTTTTCATAGAACAGGATGAGTAAGTCAGCCTTGGTGTAATTAAGTTTGTATTTTCTTGTATATTTGCTTCTCTGCGAAAACAGATGCATATTAAAATGGAATAGTTTTGTGTATTTGGGCATGAGCATGCTGTCTCGAGTTAGATTATTCCTATTTTATATCAACGAAACTACTGGCCAATGTTACGCATATGTCAAAAGCATTCATGCGACGTTCCTGTCACGCTTTTCTAACATTTCTGTGCATCTAACATTAGGTATATTACTGTAATGTAAATTATCATATCCGCAAGAGAGGAAAGAAATATTATTCGTCCAAATTTACAAATTAACAATTATTAAGAATTAGAAATATATCTCGGAGTATATAAAATGCATTTCATGAGAATCTGTTTCTTTTCTAAAAAGATAAACGACTCTATTAATTAAATCCATCAAACATAGCTTTCATTCTTCTACTTCGCAAATTTTGCCTATTGTTTTCATTTTTCTCTCATGAAAATCCCATTTCATGTTCCGTTTCGCAAGCTTTCTACTCTTCACGGTTTCTGACGAATGTCATGAAATATTCGAGGCGTAGCGGGGCGGTACGTCAGGACAGAGATTGGGTAATAGAATTCGTCGACAGATCGGCTCGCGGTGGCTTGGCCCTGGAATCGTTAATATTTGGGCCAAGTCCAAGGGGCAAGCCCGGCCTCGCTGCGCTACGGTACTTAGGAAAGCTCCGCTAATTGTATTAATGCAGCACGGTTTGCCCGGATCAGGACTCCTTTGTTATAATCCCACAGTAAACCATGTTGTTCTGGCTAAACATATCTATCCCTGAGATATGGTACATTCGGTCATTTCAATTGATTATAATTTCATTGGTTTCATTGATCCCAGGAAACTATTTAGGAACCTATCAATTTATCACTAAATAATATACGATTTTCCAGTAGTTATTATACTTGTTAGAATACAAGAGGATTTCAAACAATTTGTTAAAAAAACGTTTAATAAAAAATAAGCTAAAATTGAGTCATTCGATTACTCAGATTCTCACTTCTTCGCATTTAGCTATTTTTTTATTTAACGTATGGAAAACTTCTACACTTAAATTTTCAGTATTACAATCCGAGGCATGCGCAGTACTTAGGTTAAATTCCAATCTGTTCCGGTGCTATATTCTACGTGTTACAAGCGAAGTAATACTCTGCAGATGGAGCAGTTTCCTTAATTTTAACCAACCTAGAACTTTGAAAGTTAGTTCAGTTTTGTACGATGTTGAATCTTATATGCGAAACGTGTTTCAAGTTTGATTACCGAGTGTGATGCTGAAAAAATTAAATTAAGGATGTATTGGCTATACAGTCGATCCCAAAAGCTTAAAATCATTTTTAAAGTCATTTTTTAAAAAGAAATCAGACGTCGGAAGAACATTGCTAATTATAAGCAACAAAAAAAACTTTTTGATTTTTCCGAGATTTTTCCAAGGGGTACCCCTTCAGATTTTGCGAAATTTTCGTTTTTTGCCAATAACTCGCAAATCGTTGGTCCTACGGGAAAATTGCATAGAACCTTTCTTGTAGAGGACGATGAGATCTACAATTTCCATATAAAAAGTTTTCGCTAGCGTCAATAGTTAACGAGTAATTTGCAAAAAACTGTTTTTTCGTTTTTTGTCAATAACCCGTTAAATATTAATGCTAGCGAAAAATTTTTACATGGAAATTGTAGATCTCGTCGTCCTCTACAAGAAAGGTCCTATACAATTTTCCCGTAGATTCAACGGTTTAGGAGTAATTAAGGAAAAATGAAATTTTTTGCCAAAAGTTCGCCGTTTCGACGGTGGGATGGTCGGATTTTATCAACATCAATAAAATGTCATATAATCATACGTAACTCGTTAAATATCGAAATTAGAAGAAAAATGCATAGAATCTTTCTTTGTAGAGGATAAGAGTGCCTAAAACTTCTTTATTAAAAATACTTTTCGCCAGCGTCAATAATTAATTGGATATTTCCTTCTATACTTTTTAGCACGTAGCTATTTATTATTAGCATTATTTTTCCGACGTCTGATTTCTTTTTAATTATAG